TCGACCTCTGCCACCCCATCTGTGCTGCTCGAGGCATTATTTCCCATGCTCTGTCTCTTGAGGCTAAAGCTATAGCGTAATTTTCATGGTCAAGCCATTGCTACATGGTCAAGCCATTGCTTCATGGACCACGTCTCTGGTAAAACCGATTATCAGCCAACTAGTTCCAGTCTCCGTCGCGTCTATCCTGTTTCTATCCCTAATACCAAGTATATGACTTGCTATGTCCTTATATGCCAACCCATAAACGTTGTGGTACTGCTTGCTTTTATTAGGTTTAATATTGAACCACAGCGTTTGCTGGTTGGTACACAAGAAACTAGGGCATAACAAGTCATCGACTTGGTATTAGGGAGAGAAACAGGATAGACGCGGCGGAGACTGGCAATAGGTTTTACCATGTAGCAAAGATTTGATGATGAGACTTAATTAGAGGCTTTAGCCTCGAATTAGTCACCCAGACGCAAGGGATTAGTAATAACGCCTCGAGTAGCACAGTTTGGGTGACAGGAATCGAGAGAACTACTTGAACCAGGGAAATAGCAAATGGATCCTACGGAGCATGAGGGAGACTCTAATATGACCTACGGAAAGATGACGTAACAATATGGCAGACTCTGATCAACATTCCCAGTACAAGGGTGAGGGGGGTGAAACCGCCAGCATGGAGTGTGGAGGGTTCTCATGAAAGCCGCTCAAAAGAGCACAACATACCACATTTAAATAAGCAAATCAAAAAATATGATAGTGAAGGCGTGATACGAAGATATAGGAGAGGTGAATAGTCCAGGGTAGAAGGGGAGATACCACAACTGTTTAGCGCACGTTTGATCAGAGGATCGGCCTCAGTTGTATCTTTGACGAGTTGTTATGTGGTGCTCAGAATGGCGAGACTCACTGACGATGCCGGCGAAACCTCTGGGAATGCATCACGTCCACGGTCCGACTCTGGAACTGATCCTGCATACAATGGACTCTGGACTAGTTGCGTTCCTCTAAATCTTCTTACCAATATGATCAAGTTGCGAAAACAAGGTTAAACAACTTCAATATTTTCTCTATTTTATCTCTCTGAGACTTAGAATATAACTTTGCAAATGCCCTTATTTAATATGTTGTAACTTGAAACCACCACTCGCCTTTTGTTAACGATCACCATCCATCACTGTAGGGCTTTGCATGCATTTTGGTCTTGGGCGTTTTTTTACAATGCCAGCGACAAGACCTTATTTTAGTTTATTATGACCAAAATATTTTGTTCTACTTTCTGTTATTCTTTCTCATTTATATCCACGGTTTATAGCTCCTCAGCCTACCTTAATAATATATTTTTGGTCATCATTATGTTCATATGCTTTTAATGACACTTTTTGCCTCACTGAACTATCTCATTCTATTTTTATTCTTCAATCGTCTTATAGCTTGTCTGTAGATATATTTATGCAATCTCTTGCCTCTTCTTCCTCTTAGTTGTCATAAATTTGTTATATATTCCTTCTGAGTACCTATTTTACACTCATTTTTTCGTCCAATCTCTTCTCTCCTTTTATCCAATATACGCCCTTTCCTTTTTTCATTTTCCTTTTGCATCAGATTGCATCTCAGGACGAATTGAGTGAGCGTGAGCAACGTCTTCAAGCAGCACTGTCTGCCGTTCGCACAGAACTTGAGCAGGAAAATCCCCTATTGCCCTCACTGACTTCTACCATGCAGCGTCGTTCTTTACGCTCACAATCCAACCTACATAAGCCATTGTCAGGTGTGAATCCTCTCTCCATACAACCGTTCGGAGTGCCTCTTTTTTCGTTGCCTTCTAACCATATGATTTCCTCAGCTCCTATTTCCATGCGTACCTCTGCTCAACGGCCCGACCTAAATAATGACGCTCAGTCGATTTTTGGCGCAAAAAACTCCTCGTTGTGGTCAT